GAGGGAGTGCCCGCCAACCATCACGCCCCGGCCCGGGTGCCTGCTGCCGAGGGAGGGGGGGACCCGACCCTGTGGGTGCGGGGGGAGCCTTTCTCGCCCTCGGCCGGCTCGGGGAGCGGTCCGGCGGCGTGGGCCTTCTGGGATAAGCCCTTAATTCGTAGAATCATAGAATCACGGAATGGTCAGAGTTGGAAGGGACCTTAAAGATCATTGAGTTCCAACCCCCCTGCCCTGGGCAGGGACACCTCCCACCAGACCAGGTTGCTCCAAGCCCCATCCAGCCTGGCCTTGAACCCCTCCAGGGATGGGGCAGCCACAGCTTCTCTGGGCAACCTGTCCCAGTGCCTCACCACCCTCACAGCAAAGAATTTCTTCCTAATATCTAATCTAAATCCCCCCTCTTCCAATTTAAAACCGTTCCCCCTTGTCCTGTCACTGCACTCCCTGACAAAGAGTCCCTCCCCAGCTCTCCTGTAGCTCCCTTCAGATATTGGGAGGCTGCTATGAGGTCTCATGGAGCCTTCTCTTCTCCAGGCTGAACAACCCCAGCCCTCTCAGCCTGTCTTCATAGGAAAGGTGCTCCAGCCCTCTGAATCATGATTTAGAGTTGGAAGGGACCTTAAAGATCATCTCATTCCAACCCCCCTGCCCTGGGCAGGGACACGTCCCTCTAGACTAATTAGGAGAGTGCAGTTCCTCCGGGGTACCTGGTGCGTAAGGATTGCTGGAAGGAGAGTCAGCTCAGCTAAAAATAAAAAGCAAGTTCCAAAACAGCAACAACCTAGAGCACTGAAAGTGTTTCAGTGTGCTTCAGTGCCTGCCTTGGGGTTGTTTTTTTTTGTGCTGTGGAGCCCTGTTGGTTTTTTAATATCCACTGTGTGTGAAGGTGTGCAGTGGCTTGCTGTGAAGTGGGAAAGGTTCCTCAGACTACAAGGTGACATGACAGAAGCATTGGGTGACGGAATTCCCTTCAGCAGCTATGTGCTCCTGTATGGCTTTTTAGTGCCATCCGCTCCGTTGTATTGGCTTTATGACAATTCACTGGCACCGTGTCTAAGAGATGGAGTAGTTCTCTAAAGCTGTTGTGATGCTTTTCCTGCGTTGGGATCACAAGAGGATCAGAAAGTACTGCCCTGTAGCTGGCAAGGGTGGAGAGCCTGAGGATGGAGTGCCTCGAACGGTTCCCCTGTACTGAACTCATTGTTACCAGACTAGAATTAATAAGGTGGATGTGGTACCTGTGGTTGCTCATATCTGTCTCTCCTTGCTGTCACATCAGGTGCTATGTAGAAATTTAGCGCCAGTGTTGGCGAAGCAATATTGGCACAGTGTGTGCTGCCATTCAGATGAGGTCAGTTTGAAAGAAATGGCTCAGGTGCAGAGAATTTATTAACACTGCAGTGAAGCATGTTCTTTTTGACCTGTAAAGACAGAGAGGAAGGAAAGCAGGGAACATCGACAGCTTAGATCTCACAACTCTCCCATGCTCTTCTATCTCTTAAGTAAAAGTTGCTGCTGTCAGTTTATCTTCTTGTGTTTGATTATATCTTGTTTTGTTTCTTTTCTCATGTGGTGTTCTATGCAGTCTGCCCTTTTTATTTTTAGGGCTTTCCTGCATGGAAAGAAAGACACAGGAAAAAAGTGCGAATATTGGAAAGGTTCTGTAGTGAAAGCTTTAACTGTGTTGTTTATATATACAGTTTGGGAAAAACTTGTATCTTCTCTGCAGCATCTGGGTTTATTGACTGCCTGTTGTAAGCAGACGTGTACATTTACACTGTATTAGGTGATCTGCAGTAGTTCTTAGTGCACGTGATCTTAGGAAAATAATTGTCATTTTAAAAAAAGTGTGATTTTAATTTGTGGATTATAGTGTTTAAACTGCTATTTGAATAGTTGTCTTGAAAGTTACATATCTGTAATTTGATCTTTACTTTATATAAGCATGAGAAATAGCTTTTTTTTTTCTTTGAGTTCCCATGTGTCTTTGGATATTATCTAATATAGGGATGCCTGATGGCATTTAGCGAACAATTATTAAATAAGTATTTTGTACAAATAACAATGTTCATAGTCCTTAAACTACTTATTATTGTTAATTTGAGCATTTGTAAAGCTCACCTGTTTTGAAGACTTGCACCCTGAGGCTGTGCTTCATAGCATCTTTAATCTGGCATAGATCTTTCCCTATGAAAGTGTTAGGTTTTCATTCTCCTCTCTCTGGTTCTTTCCTTTCTTTTATTAATGCTAGGATTCATGTCCCTGCTTCGACACCCAGATCAGAGATCTGAACTGGCTGAAAACTGTTCGTGGTGTTGTGGTTTATCAGTCATTCTGTTTTGGTTTTGCAGTGTGTGTTGGAGGGTAGGTGGCATATCGTGTTTCACCTAGGTCATTTTAAGACAGCAACACTTCCAAAACATTTCCATATACAATAACAATATATGTTATATATGTACTTCTTAACATAGGTATCTTGTGCAAAGTGGATGTTGTATGATTTAATGACTGCTTGGAGTGGATTGTAGCCAAATCTTTGTGTTTGCTCCCATACAAACATCTCAGTTAGGGCTTTTGCTCTCTTTTTTCAAAGTGACTCTTACTTAATCTAGGCTTAATCAAACAATCCCCTAATTAAAGGGACTGTTACTTCATCTAGGCTGTCCTGAAATGATTTTACACAAAGTAAGCAATAAGAATGCAAGTGTGTTTTTAAAGCAATGGATTATTTAAGCATACCCTTTAAATTTTTTATCATTATTTTGGTATTTTAATTGTACCCAAATCAGTACAGAAAATATAGTTTATCTGCTTTTAAAATGGAATTAATTTCATAGGGTGGCTGTGAAATTTGCTTTAATTTTTTTTTCCTTGTTCTTGTTAAAATTTATGTGGTGGGAAGCGCTTTAAAAATTGATAAAAGTAAGCACAATGAGTCTAAATGTTAATGAAATACGCTTTTGTTTCTGTTGCATAACATGATGGAAATATAACTTCTTACATTACTTGCACAAGAAAATTAAATGTTCCTGCTTGCATCACAATCCTAAAAGTTATATTTTTCTTATGCATATGAATAATTTCCACAGGTGTCTGGTAAATAGCTGATAGAGATGCCTGCACAAATGAAGATACTGAGCTATGTGGCAGCTAGATTCCAAGGTGATGCAATTGACTTTTAAGATGCTGAAATTAAGAAGTGCTTATAATTGTACCGGGGAGGAGAATATTTAGTGATGTTTATAGCTGAAATTTTTTACATGTGGGATTTTTTTTTTTTTAACCACCCACTGACACTCAAGATTCTTGTTTTCCATCCTTACTCCAGGGAATTTCTGCAGGACTTATGACTGCAAGTCTGCTTTGCTCTCCTGTATTAGAAGTGAGACCAGGGCTGTTCTGTTAGCATTGATTTCAAGCAGAATCTTCTCCTGTTTTGTTGTCCCTATCTGCCTTTTGACCTTCTAAGGAAAAGGCTGAGAATAGCCAATTTAATATGAAGACAAGGCTCATGTTGCTTTTTAAGCAACTACTTCAAAGAATGGAGAGAATTAGGAAAAAAAACCCCAAAAACAATGAGTTCTGACTACTGAGGCTGTGTGCTTTCTTAGAATATGGCATATGTGAATATGGCATACTCTTTTTTCTCCTCACTCCATTGATTTCGTTCTTCCACCTGTGATCTCTCTAACTCTTCCTTTTGTCACGCACTGTGTGTAGCTTTTATCTTATTTCTTCTTGCTGCTATATGTCAGTGAATGGCCCCGTTTCCACGTGGGATACATAAATGACAACATTAGTAAAGGTTAAATCTCTGTTGAGAGAGAAAGAGGGGATTTGTACATGCAGGAACTGTGACCTCCGTGGTTTCTGGTTTTGTTGCCAGTCATTAGCCCAACTGAAGCTAGACTTAAAATGTTCCTGTGTTGGATCTGCTGGTTAACTTCGCTTGTGCTTGATAAATTTGGACTGTTCAAGCTTAAGTAGACCCATACTAAAACAAGTTTAGCCTCAGACAGCTCCTGCGCCTGTACTTGAAGTTAATTTGAGTGAATGATAGGTGAGCTAACTTGAGTGCAAACTCAGATCTTGTTTAACTGTGTCTTGTACCAAAAAAAAATAGAGACAAAAATCTCTATTTTAGTTATGTGAATGGAGATTCTAGCAAGGAGGCTTCTTGACTTTTTATTTTTCCAGCCTGAGGAGGAGGTGCTGGAAACATTGTGGTCAGCTTGTAGGGTGCACCCTATGTCCCCTTCTGAACAGAGAGAAACTTTTTTTTTCTTTTTATTTCTGCATATAGCTAGAACTTCCCTTGCCATCTGAGGATGCGTTAGATTTACTGGAGGATGTTAAAGCATAAAGTTGCAGATTGGAACTCCATTGATTTTTGTGTAGAAGTTTGTTTCTCTGTGGAGTTATTTCTTAGGAGATGCCACTGACTGTACCCATGGATGCTTTTACTGTAGAAGTACTTCTTTGCAGCTTTTATAAACACCACTGAAAAAACATTGATCAGATAATTAAGTGCTTTTATACAGAAATAAAGCGTGCACATGGCATTAACTGGGAATAGCTGTTTCTATTTAAATTTGTGTTCTTCCTTGCATTTGAAAATTCGTTCATATCAGATAATTTTTTTGTTCTTGCTTTCCTTGGCCAAAGAAGTACAAAATTTGGAATAATTGAAACAGGACTCGAAAGTTGTGGTCTGCAGATCTGTAAAGTATATGAGATTACAGAGGTACCTCTTGTAGTTTTGGCTGAATGGTCGGAGTCTAATGTGGTGGCAGAGGATAAGAAAATCTTGGTTTTGTCTATACAGTAATTGTGGGCATGTTTGCTTTTTGGCGGTGTATGTTACGGACAGTTAAATTCACGTGTGATAACGTCGTACAAAGTCATGTCTGGTGGAGGGTACTTGGCTAGGCAGTACACAGTGTGCATGCTTTCTTCACCAGTGGCTTGCTCTAAGGGTCAAGGATTCTATATAGGAAAGTAGATAACAGTGTCAATATCAGTGCTGCTGATAACTGCAGTCACATGTACGTTTTAGGAAAGAGTAGACTCTGGTACGTCATGAAGAGAGACTGCCCTTGGGAAAATACTCCTTAAACACGGAGATAATTCAGTAGTGCTGGAAGTACTGTGTTAAGTGTGTGCTTGAACTAGACTGAGATGGGTTCTCTGACCCATGATTTCTCAAGAGGTGGTCCCCGTGTACACTGGTTATCGTTGGAAACTGAGAAGGCACATCGTCCTGTCTATTTAGGGGAAAGATACACAAGTGTGGACAGATTGTGTAACTCCCCTTTATATTATCCTAGTTTTATAAATCTAAAGTTGTCATGTCAACAGATGCTGTAAGGATGAGTTATTTAAGTTTGATCACTGCAAGGGTGTTAGCATGACCTATAGCACAACTGTAAGACACGGCTATGCTCAAATCCTCTTACTGATCTTTATTTTCTCTAAGGTATGTTTTGACTGTGGAGCAAAGAACCCGAGCTGGGCAAGCATAACCTATGGAGTTTTCCTCTGTATTGATTGTTCAGGGACGCATCGATCACTTGGTGTTCATTTGAGTTTCATCCGGTAAGTAATTTGTATAGTTTTATAGTAAAAATGCCATCTTTTAATGTTTGTGTTTGTTCAGATACCTGCGCAGAGGGGAAAACCCATTCTTCTCTCAAGTACTGATTCAGGCCTTTTTAATGTTTTTATTAGCTTTGATGTGTCTGATAGCTGCTGGGGAAATGAGTAAATAGGTATTGCTCAGCAGAATTTGCACCGTGCGCCCATTCCCATTATCTGCTTGTTGTGTTAGATCTGCCAACAAATGTGCATTATTGTTTCTGCATTGAAATGATGAAATAAAGAACAGAGTAAGTATGTTGAATTGTTGTATCATTCCTCCAAATGAAGACTGAGGCAAACATTAGTTCATTGTCCTTCAGTGTATTGATCATAAAGATAGTCTGCTCAGAGAGCTAAATAGCATTTTGCAAGCAATTGTCCTCAGCAGTACTCCAGTGTATTGATCAGAAAGATAGTCTGCTCAGAGAGCTAAATAGCATTTTGCAAGCTTTGCTTCCTGAAGTAGTTCATGATGGTGTCACCTGAGTGCTTGTACTGGGGTAGAGTCAAGGGGTACCCCTTTTGGCAGCCGTTGAGCTCAGTCAGTTGGTGCAGTAAATCTCTACCCTGAGCTTGTCACGTTTCAGGTGAGCATCCTAACTGATGGCCTGCGGGCTTTTTTTGGCCAGATAAATAATTACACGTTTGAAATGTAAGGTTCTGCTTGGAGTGAGTGAGAGCAGCGCAATCAAATATGAATTGCAGATAAAAGCAGTTGTTTTCCATCAACTGAAGTTCTTCCTCTGCTGCCTTTTCTCTGTGTACAAGAGTGTTAGAGGAGGCCTCTCAAGAATCTGTTCCTAACGATCACAGTATTAATTGTCTTCATACTCACTGAGCTCAAAATTTTTGTTGTGTTTTGACATTCAAATTGCCAGTTTGTCCATGACATGCGTGTGATTGTCATCTGCTGTTGACAGAGTTCAAATGCGATTCCTGAAAATGTATCTTATTGGTGCTTTTTAAAAGGGAAAACCTGTCAACCAGAGGGTGCTTTTTTTTTTTTCATGCTTCTACAGTTTGAAAACTACATGGCTTTATTATTGTTTTTCACTTTGTGTATTGTTGCAATTTTTTTTTCTATAGCTGCATACTTTTTACTTTACAAAAAAAAAAGGGGGAGTAGGGGAGGGAGAAACACTTTATCAAAAAAAATTTAGATTTTAAATGGCTTTGGAGATAACATTAAAAATGTTTCCTTCTGTTTAGATCTACAGAACTGGATTCCAATTGGTCTTGGTTTCAGCTGAGATGCATGCAAGTTGGAGGAAATGCGAATGCTGTATGTACTCCTGAGTACTTGCTTTGCACATACAAGCTTGTTAGGCTTGGAAGCTATTGTCTGTCCCTGTTGGCTCACATCTTGGGAATATTTTTATTTTTCCAGTTCATTTCTCTCCTTTTTTTTTGTTTTTCCTCCTCCTGTTTTTCCATACTTCTTGCAACTTTTCCATCTTGGTATTTTTTTCTTACAAGTCATTAATAAAAATCACTGAAAAGGCCAGATCAAATTCCTTGTCAATACATCTCTAATTTAACACAGAAACATTGACAACTGCTGAAAGATGGCTTTCCAACAGCCTGTAAACCTAGCTTATGGGCATCCTCCTGTGACCACGTTTCCTTACATGGTTTCTGAAAATATCATGCCAAAAATCACATCACTGAAGTAAAGATTTGACTTATACCTGAGGTACAGCTGAAGTCAAGATAAGACATGCTATGCTGTCAGAGAGGAAATAGTGTTTTGGTTTGGGCCAATTCATATGGGCTGTTACTTTCAACTTGATTTTTTATGTACTTACAAATAAGCTTGTTACACAATATTTTTTTTGTACATTGAAGTTATGTTGGCTGCTGTATTGTTCTCAGTCTCCTTTATAAAAGAGGATCTTTTCCTTTGTCAACATTTTCGGAATCTTGCCTGTTTTCCCAGGTTTTTTCAAAGACTGACCACCAATAACTGAGATTGTGGTGTCAATTTAGGGAAGCATAGTGGGGAAACATGCAACTTCCCTAGGCAATTTCTACTTTTCTTCTAATTACCTGAATGTTTACTCCTATCTATCTTCATTTGTGCTTTGTCTTTTAATGTCGTATCTTTAAGAAAGTTCATTCAAACTTGCTTTCCGTAGGCTTTTTCTTAACAACTTTCCTGACAATCAGCTTAAGTCTAACACTTTAATAGTCTGCTGGTTTTTTAATTTTCTTACAAAAATTATGAATTCAGGATCATTATTATTTATCTTCCATTTCTGCATTTTCAATCAAACCTTTTTCTTTGAATTAGGCATTCAGCAGTCCATGTCTCTGGCTTACAGATCTGAGCAGTTGTATGGTGTCTTCTGCCTGTCCTTTCTAAGTTACTCCTTTCTCTATTAACACTGCTGTTATGTGAATTTACTCATTGAGTTTCTTTTATGCCGCTTAGTACATAAAAATCACAGATTTGACTAATCAGAAGAGGGAGATTTTGCATGAAAAATATTGTCTTTTTTTAGCCAAAGACCTAAAAGCTTTGGTTAAACTTTATAAACATTGCTATTCAAAGGGTTTAAGGCAGCTGGAAATACGAGATTGCAAAGTTTGAAAAGTATACTTCAGTTAATCTTAGAAAGCATATTACCAGTAGAATAAGAGTAAACCTTTATTATTGAATTTTATGAATTTTTATCTTGAATGTCACTGTTTCCTATCATACATTATACCAAGAGGTATAGTATACCCACAGCCACCCCTCAAATACCTCAAATTCACAAAGGCCTGTTTTGGATTGCCTAGGAAGATTTATATCTGAAACTTTAAAGGTCAGTTTAGAAAATTGTCTGGACATTAAAAAAAATAAAATTAATGTTTTTCTTCCAATTACCTTCAAAAAAACAACCAACAACAACATTCCCTTTTTGCTCAAATTAAAGGCTAAATTCTGTTTTTTCTAACTACTGTTAAGAAGCACTCTCAGATTAACATTGATCATTTGTATTCTGTAACTCCCTGATGATGCTGAATCTTGGCTAACAGCTGTCCTGAGCTTTGTAGCTATGTATACCTTGCTAGAAAATCTGAAGTGTTCTTAGTTCCTTTTGTTTTCAGAGTAAAGCTCTATAATGATTGGAATTAAGAGTTTAAAGAAAAAAAAAAGCTCTGAATATTAAGTTCATAGGTGTGTATATATTTAAATGCAAAAATGCACAATCTTTGTGGCATCTGTGATGTTTATGACTGATTCTGTCATAATCACCGATGTTGACTGGCCTTATCTTTCTCCTGCATGGTTGTTGCTAAATTTTTATATGAAGTACTTGTATACTAGATTTATGCTTTGCAATTGCAGCATATGAGGTCATAACCTCAGGTTATCTAGACTTGCTTACCCTGCTGGAAACTTACTATGTTTTAGTGTAATAGTCTGAGATGTTCTTCCATGCAAGAACATATGGTATGGTATGACTTGCTAGTCAATTTTAGGTACTGACAAATGTGGAATTCTGATATAAATGGATTGATTTGCTTTTGTTTTAAGACCCTAAATCAGAATAATTTTTTTCATTTACATATTTATATTTTCATATACACACGCAAGCATATAAATATATATGAATACGTATGTATATGCATACACACACTTTTCTTTTGAAGGAAGACCATTTTTATACAGGCATTTTGATGCTATTGAACATACATTGTTCTCTCTAGCATGCTAGAGATGAAGCCAAGCAATGCCTTTTAGAATTTTAGGAATGTCCTTTGAAGCACAGGTATTGGCAATCAATTTTGCCTCTTCCTTTCTACACTTAATTTCAGAACTAGGGTTCTTTGTGTACAATGGCAAGTTTGAATTTGTATATGCCCTTAAAACATCCCACTAATGTATTTGGGTTTTCTGTTGTTTTATTTATACATAAAGAGGTTGCCAGAACGGAGTTTTCTTTTTATTTTGGAGATCTACGTAGACTTCATAAATTAAAAAATTGGATTTAGGTAGAGGAGCAGGGTGATACAGTTTTATGTTAAATGGTGTTATTTTTTTTTTGCTGCATTGTGATACAGTTTTATGTTAAATGGCGTTATTTTTTTAACCTGTTTCTCATAGCATTTTCGGTGTTTTCCTTCATAGTTTGCTTTTTTCCATCAACATGGATGCACAACAAATGATACCAATGCAAAGTATAACAGTCGTGGTGCTCAGCTGTACAAGGAGAAGATTAAATCTCTTGCAACACAGGCAACAAGAAAGCATGGTACTGATGTGAGTAGTGTGTGTCCTGTGTCATTAAGATTTCTGAAAAACTTTCTCTTTCCCCCTAGAGTAATTTTAAGTTTCTAATTAGTAATGCAAAATATTATCTGTCCTTGCGAGGTACTGATACACATTGCAGGGAAAAGGAAAGTTGGGGATTAAACTATTTGTAGCTTACCTCAGCAAGTTTGATCTTTACCCTCAGCAAGTTTGCTGATGACACAAAACTATGAGGGGTGACTGTCACCCCAGAAGGCTGTGCTGCCATCCAGCGAGACCTGGACAGGCTGGAGAGCTGGGCCAAGAGAAACCTAATGAAATTTAACAAGGGCAAGTGCAGGGTGCTGCACCTGGGGAGGAATAACCCCCTGCACCAGGACAGGTTGGGGGTGATCTGCTGGAGAGCAGCTCTGAGGAGAAAGACCTGGGAGTCCTGGTGGACAACAGGATGACCATGAGCCAGCAATGGGCCCTTGTGGCCAAGAAGGCCAATGGCATCCTGGGGGGCATCAGGAAGAGCGTGACCAGCAGGTAGAGAGAGGTCATCCTGCTCCTCTGCTCTGCCCTGGGGAGGCCCCATCTGGAGCACTGGGTCCAGTTCTGGGCTCCCCAGTTCCAGAAGGACAGGGAACTGCTGGAGAGGGGACAGCAGAGGACTACAAAGATGATGAGGGGCCTGGAGCATCTCCCTTACGAGGAGAGGCTGAGGGACTTGGGTCTGTTTAGTCTTGAGAAGAGAAGGCTGAGGGGGGATCTGTTCAACACCTATAAATACTTAAAGGGGGGGTGTCAAGAGGACGGGGCTGGTCTTTTCTCAGTGGTGCCCAGTGACAGGACAAAAGAAAATAGGCAGAAACTTGAATATAAGAAGTTTCACCTGAACATGAGGAAGAACTTCTTTCCTGTGAGAGTAGTAGAGCACTGGAATAGGCTGCCCAGGGAGGTGGTGGAGTCTCCTTCTCTGGAGACATTCAAAACCCACCTGGACAAGTTTCTGTGCAACCTGCTCTAAGTAGACCTGCTCCGGCAGGGGGGTTGGACTAGGTGATCTCCAGAGGTCACTTCCAACCGCATATATTTCTATCCTATTTGTTGGGAAAAAGAATATTGGGAGAGAGCTCTAAGTGGAGAATTCAGGATCATTTCTGGGTTATTTGAAACATTCATTTTAACGTTTGCAGTAACTTATAGGAGTTGTAGGCAGAAACTTCTTCAAAACGGAAACTTATTTGTTTGCGAGCGTGCTCCAAAATTGTATTGGTGGAATTGCATAACAAAAATATCAGCACTTCTCCATGAACTGTATAGTGTTTTTGTTTTAGCTTATCTGGAACTGAATTGTTATTGAGAAGTACAGCATGTAAAAATGTAAAAGTGCTAATAGAATTTACTACAAAATATTTGTGATTTTAATGGGATTTGATTTGAACAGGTAAATGTGTGGGTTTGCTTTTTTGCCTACAGAAATAATATTTGAAAAAATAGCGACTTGTGTATGTCCTGAACTTGCTGTTCACCATGAAAAATGCTGAAATGGTTCATGCATGCTGTCAGAACATTGTTAGGTTGCTGACAGGAAGAAGTTATTAGCAAAGTATGCAGAATTACTTTGCTGAGGTGTTAAATGAGTTTTACAAAGTTATCTTTAACATACACAGAAAACATGTTTTGATTGTTTAATTCAGCTTGTTAAAGTCTGTGATTCACTTGAAGTTGATCAGATGAGTGGGAACTAAAAGAAAAGCAAGAAAGCTTAGGGTTTTTCTAATCTATCCATCAAAGTATGAAATGTAATGGAGTGTCGTATATCAAGCTTGAATAAATTTGTAAGGAGAAATTATGTAGCAGGAAAAAAATTCAATAATTTTTTTAATCTGAAAAAAAAGAGTTATTTGAAGATTAGTGAATTTGAAAAAAATATATTAATGTAATTGTCCTGTAAAATTCTTGTTCTCTTTTAATTCTAGCTGTGGACAGATGGATGTGGAACGCCACCTGTGTCACCTCAAAACAAAGAGGAAGATTTTTTTGCATCCCATGTTTCTCCCAAGGTATAGATTACCTGTATTTAGTTATTGTTAGCTTTCTAAACACTTAGGTTAACTGTGGATCTATGATGAACATTAAACCCTGAAAGAAAACCTTATCAAGAAAGGGGAAGTCAGTGGTTTAACATTAACTTGCTTTTCTTTCTGTGGGTCTCAAAATTCTTTCTGGATGTGAACCACTTTCTAAGGTGATAATTTAGAATGACCCAAATAATAGCTAAATGTGGAATGAAACTGTATTTTTTTTGTAGGCTTACAATTCCAATTGGGCTCATGATTCCTCACTTGGGAGTGCTCTAATTTAAATATACTACATGATAACTTTGGGTTTTAATCAGTAATGTTGAACAGTTCTTAAAACTTTTGCTAAGCAGAAGCTTTTTTTCTTTCTCCAAAATACTTACAGCCTCTTTGAAAATGTTAACGTAACTTTCTGAAGGTATTGCTACTGTTGTTTTTTGTTTATTCGATCCTGCCTCCTTAAGGTGGTGGATGGTGTGTTTATTGCACAAGGTTGTTACTTCAGAGACTCTCTTGAGTCTGGTATTTGAAAAATACCAGTGAAAACAACTTCAGCAATTGTAATCTTCAACTTAGAACGATTATTGCTACATCTTGTATTCCTAAATATTGCAACAATATTAACTGTTCTGCTACTCGATATTAAGCGTTCTGCTATAATTGTTTTCTGGTACACTTGCCGTCTGTGAACACCTAAAACACAAGTATTATCATGAGGTGTATTTTGGGGTAGAGAAGAGTTTAAAGAGGTTGGGTATATCAGATTAGCCCTTGTTGTGAAAACTCACCAATTCATACGCATGTTAATTCTCCTGTCATTCTTTTTTTCCTTTTGGTTATTCAGTTGTGGCGTTTCAAAATGTAACTTTTTTGTTCTATTTGTGAGGTTTCAAAAATGGTGCATTTTAAAGGGAAATTGAGCCTTTTTCCTATTTATTTTATTTTAGTAACTTCTACTACAGCCAGTATTTTAATGTCTTTGAAAAAGTGAAATAATATTTACATTTAACAGACTGGGGAGCTTGCTGCATTGTTGTAGAAATGCTCATTGCAAAGACAAAAAAAAATAAAAATTCAGTTATTGTGAATTCCAGTCAAGTTTCTTTACCGGAAGATCATCTGTCCTGAGAGTAAAGAAATAAATGGTATATTTCTGTTTGCAAAGGCAACTTGGAAGAACGCTTGCAGTTGAGTGGGAAGAGCATAAACTGAGGCAAACTAAAGAGAAAGATCTTTAGGCAGAAAAGCATTGTAAATATTTTTGTGGTTAAGGACAAGAAGTAGGAACTTGATACAAACCCTCTTAAAAGAATGTATGGGTAGGATAAAGTGAATTTTCACAGTAAACTACTTTTCAGGTAGCTGCAAAGGCAGGAGGGTAGGAGGTCTGTGTAACTCAGGGCAAGAGGTTATTTGGGTATGCATGTTTTGAGAGAGATTGAGGTTTTAGGGAAGAATAAGCATGAACTGTTAGTGGTACAGCACTGGTGGAAAAGATAATAATAAGCTGATATCATTGTGGCCAGGTCACAAACCTGCCTGTTGAGGAGGATGTGTCTGAGAGAAACGGGAGGTCTCATCAGGAAGACCTGGGAAGACTGCTCACAATCACAAAATAGGTGTTAGAACACTGGAAGTGCAAGAGCTTAATGTGGGGAGAAGGCTTGGTGATTATATGTAAATCATAGAATGGTTTGGAAGGGACCTTAAAGATCATGGAGTTCCAACCCCCCTGCCCTGGGCAGGGACACCTCCCACCAGACCAGGTTGCTCCAAGCCCCATCCAGCCTGGCCTTGAACCCCTCCAGGGATGGGGCAGCCACAGCTTCCCTGGGCAACCTGTTCCAGTGTCTCACCACCCTCACAGTAAAGAATTTCTTTCTGGTATCTCATCTAAATCTCCCCTCTTCCCATTTAAAACCGTTTCCCCTCGTCCTATTACTGCACTCCCTGATAAAGAGTCCCTCCCCATCTCTCCTAATAAAGAAATGATCCAGATTTCCTATACTATATTGCCATTATGAATAAAGACAATTAATAGCCAGCATACAATAAATAAGTCTAAGCCACAACTAAAATGCCAGTAATTTTTTTGGATGGTAAACATACTGAAATTCCTGAGAAGGAAATGTAGGTGCTCAGGAGTGGTTTGAAACCATCTTGCTTTTAATAAAGGTAGGCATTTCTTGTAATGTTAATAACTGCCCTCCTGAGAACGGGCTTTAAACCTAGAAGCTGTAATGATAAGGATCTAGTATTAACTAGTCAGTGATGCTCAGGCAGTCTTTGAACACCATGTTTATATTTATTTACTGTATTCTGTTTCGTGAGCACTTTTGATTTTTGTAATCTTTTTCAAGGCAAAGAATACAGACTGGGTGTTATCAGAGCCAGTTTCTGTACAGAAGAATACTTCAGAAAATATTCCAGAATGCCATGAAGGTATGACTGATTCTTTGTTAACAATAAGCTGCAATTTTCTGGTAGTATCTTTGTTTAGACTCTTTGTTCCCTGCTCTAATAGTAAAATACTGTAACCATGCTAGTAATGCAAGAATTTGGGAGATGAAGGACTTTTTAGATGGGTTATACTAGAATGTGTGGGACTGTGTGTGCCTCTAATAATGTTTAATAGAAATACAAATTAAAATTTGATTCAAAAGACTTCAGATCAATCTTTGGGTGCCTGTTGCTCCTTTAGTAACTGGTAAAGCTGTGATAGAAATAACACGTTTTGCTAGATGTATCAAACAGTACCCTAAGTGAACTGAATTTTAAGCATTCTCAAGAGCCTTCTGATATCCTTACCCTTGTTATTCATTATGTTTTAGGACCAGAACATGGACCAAGTGTTGATTGCCTTAGTGTATCACCAAAAGCTGCATTAGGTAATGATTGTAAGCAGAAGATAGCAACCAGTATAGAGTACTTAAATATTCATTTGTACAGAGAATGTGTGACTGGAAAGAGATGTGAAATACTTACTTTAGTATTGGTCTGCATGAGTTAGTTGAAACCTCTGAATTTGTATTACAGCTTCTTCTTTTAAACAGTGTATTCTGAGGAAATTAATATTAGTCAGCATTGTTCTGGTTTTATCTATCTTAGCTGACCTGATGAATTTAAAAGCAACAGGTATCATACCTCATAAAGGTGGCCATTAATGTTTTACACCTCCTGTTAGGCTGCTTTAAGTTCTGCATTTAAAGCACCCAGGTGGAATAGAGCATTGTGTTGTGACTAATGGCCTGTTTTTTATGTTAGGCAAACACATCTTTTACTAACAGGTCAGTCTTTCTATCTAGATGTAGGGTTTGCTCCCTTTTCAGGAAACTGAGCATAAAAATTTAGACTGGAAGAATTTTGTATTTCTAATATGGTATCTTCAGTGTCCAGAGTCTTAATTTAATTAACACTGAAGATTGTATTATACGACAAGTAGGTTAAAAAAAAAAAAAAAAGTTGAGGAAAATAGAATAGAATAACATATGTCAGTGATTTGTAATTTTGAGGATCATCCTGTGTTGTGGTTTAGTCTCAGATGGCAAGAAAGAGCCACGTGGCAGCCACTCTCTTGGGCCCCCCTCCTCCCAGGGCCTGGCCGCGAGAGGAGAATTGGAAGAAAATGGTAAAACTTGTGGGTTAGGACAAAGGCAGTATAACAGAACAGCAAAGGGAACGGGAAACAATAACAGTAACACCGATAGAGGAGTATACAAAAACTGTTATGCTGTAACCAGAACATCCTGCAGGAGCCAGTTTCTGAGGATAAGTGTTGATTCTAAGCGGCACGGAGGTAGTAAAGAAATGGTGACTGGACTAACTCGGTGCTTCAGGAAGGTACAGTCTTCATCACCTGGTTGGGTTTGGTAATTTGTTTATGTTTTGTTGTTTCTTTGTTAGGTTGGGGTTTTTGGGGGGAGCTGGATACTGGGAAAAAGAGTTAATTGCATACACTTCCTGTTTTTCTCAATTGTATCTTTAACACGTACTTTTCTTGTTTCTTTTGGGCATCACAAGTTCTGTCTTACCTGAAGAATCTCTGTTCTGTGTATGCCTGTGTCAGGGGGGTAGTAGGTGACTCAGATTCACAAATCCCTAGCGTGACTGAAGTCACACAACTCTCAAGGTCCACATGCAAACGTTTATTAGGTTCCCACAGTGATTAATACAGGTCATAACTAGGTCCACTATATTTGATTAGGTATACAACAAATTATGGCAAGCGGGTAAGGGACTCCTTGTGTTACTTAGCAACAGATACACAACAAATTATGGCAAGCAGTACTTAACAACAGATAGACAGTGAATTAAGGCGAGTGATAAGGTGTGCCTTACTTAAATTCAAAGGTGTTACTTACTTAAATTCAAAAGAAAAGAGAAAAGAAAAAGAAACAGAGGGATAGGGAAGGAGAGACAGAATGAGAGAGGGAGAGATAAAGAGATCACTTGATCCTGGTTCCAGCGTTGGTCCAGTCAACTGGTGGTGGGATGGGGGTGTAGGAGTGCTCTTCGGTGTATCCCCCTGCAGTGACACTTATTTTCCCCTTTTATGTTTGTCTTATCAGTACGATCTGCCTCACTGCTACAGGGCAGTTTCATTTCAGTTTTCTTCACACCCCCACCCCACCCCCCCAAGGTGTAGCACGATTTGGGTGGAGAGAACTGAGTGCCATAGTTATATATGTTTAGCAGGATCTCCATAATCTTCATTAGCATCTGCAGGAGTGTCAACTTTAACATGCATTTTGCGGATAATGAGGATCATTCACGGGCCACAGTAGCCTTTTGAAGAAACAAAGAACAAAGCAGGTTACTGTTCTCTTGTCCTTGCTGAGGAAAAGCAGCTGCCCTGTCTCCGTAGGGCTTCCTCCTCCAGATGCCCCCGGGCACATCTTGTGCTCTTCAGGCCTCCCGCACGGGTCAGACAAGAGATAAGCAGGTGTTAGCCTTCCCAGGTTTTTTTGAGCAGAAGGCCTGGCATTTGGGAGCGTTTGAGACATTGCTCAGGAAGGCTCAGTGTGCCTCCTCCCCCTCCCCTTCATCTCGCACCATTGTTTCATGCTTCCCCAAGGCTGCTTCTCTCAGTCTGTGTTTACAAGTCCTCTCTGACAGCCTGTTTCAAACTACATTTCAGCTCAAACCAGTTTTTCTGTGTATATAAGCATTCAATAGGAGTTGTCGGTTGAAAACTTTCACTTGTGGGAGATTTACCCTGACTCATGGTAGCTGTCAAGAATGCATAATACAGTGCCTTACAGAACGTAGTGAGTCCTATTAGGGTTTCATTAAAAATACCACGATTAGGAGTTGAGTCAAATTTCATGCAGAGCAGAATGTAAATTTGTTTCCTTTCTGTGTTTTGATATTTAAGATGAAGCATTAGGACTGGAACTTTCAAACTTTATACATAGACTCCTGTTACCAAAGACAGGCCTCTGCTTTCTTTATAACCATATGCTAACTAAAATGTTGTTTGCTTCCTACTAACCTTCTTACTGTGCTGACATAAATTGTAGAAAAAGGTTAATGTCCAAGCAGATGTTCCAAGTAATGATAATGAGGAGAAAGCCAGAAGTAGTTAATCACTTCTGGGATGGGATAACAAGAAGTAGTTAATCACCTAAAGGTTCTTTTATATGTCAAAGTATGCACTCCTATGTGAATGAGGAAAGAGTTGTGGCTACTTCAAGGAACATCCTTATCATCCTCAGATAATACCTTAGAAGGATAATATTAGGAATCCACAGAGAAGCTCATGCCTGTGCAGAAGTGTTTTGCAGACGCAGCAAAATCTAATACGCATGTGCAAAAGGGTTATTAGGTCATCCTAATGAATATGTAAGCAGAGGTGAAGTTTAGTATTAGGCACGCAGGATTATTAGAACCTTTTGTGTCTAAATAACAGGTGAATATCCCCGGTAAGGTGTGTTAGATTTGTGTATTTCCACCTAGCCCTCGACGTCGAATAAACTATATCTCCTCTCTAAACTACTTCTGGTTTTGAGAGCTTTTATTTCAGGTAACACTCCCACTACTGTACTTAGGCAATTGAGCAAATCTATTCAATGTAGAGAGCATGTTGCCACCTCTGTTAACGTTTGCAATTTTCCTTATAATGATACAGGTATGTTTTACGTGTATCATCAGTGGTTTTAAACGTAGCCAATACTTTTCCATCCAGGAAACAATTTATCTTAGAAATGTTGTGGGATCAGGTGGCTCTAGTCTGGTTCAGAATAGCGATTACTGCATTCTTGTTCTGTATAAAAGTAGGTATCTACAGCTGAAAACAGCAGTAATTTTATTACTACTTTGTATTTGCGAGATACTGTATCCTCCATCAGATGCAGTTTCCCATGTTTTCTTGGAGATATTCACGGCTCTGTTCCCTGTAACTCAGTTTAGCATCTCGGTCTCTTGGTGAAGAAACTTTAATAGTTCAAGGCATTAAAATAAATTCCAAAAACTATACCGAGGCTGATATTGTGGAAATGATCTTCTGCAGTTCTGGAATTAATAAAATTGTATGTCAAGTAATGCACCTTTCATCCTTGCAGAGAACACCACCTTCATAAAAAAGAAGCCAAATCAAGCTAAAAAGGGGGTAAGTGTATAGAAATAATGCATATTTTTATCTGCATTATAGATCTCTGGAAATACGTAGATTGCAATATGGAAATGTATCATGTAAGTTAGCACTAAACAGTACTTGAATCATATATGAAACTAAAATGGAATTGAAAACTGTTTGTATATCAAAGCAGCCAATGGTCTGTTTGAAAATGGATTATTGTTAAAATGAATTTGTCTGACAGGTTACTGTTATTATGTAGTAGAGTACTTCAGATCTGTGGATTGTTTTCTGACCTCAGACAAATTCTGTTCACACTTATGTAGCTCATCAAACTGTCTAGACTTCTACGTGTATATTTGAGTGTCATTTTCTCTGTGCTGTCTGGACCTGAACAGCAGGTGATATCTTTTTAAAAAAATGAGTAAAATAAAAATGTCAAATGTTCTTTTCACTACCATTGTCCCTGCAGCTCCCCTAATGCCCTGTAACCTTTCTTCTCACTTGCTTTTACTGGGTTGCAGGGCTTCTTCAGTCTTTCACCTAAGTTACTTGTCATTAAAATCCTTTTGTAGCAAATCCTGAAAGCAGAGGGAGTTCCAATAGCACTTCTGAGTGCTCTTATACCATGCTTGCATATTGAGCACGTGTGGCATAAATCTGTCAATATAAGGTGAGTTTGAGACATTCGAGTATGTATTTCTGAGAGAGTCCTCATCTCACCACACAGCAGTATGGTATTTGGTTGTATTTATAGATAACTTGCAGCTGCATTCAATTCAAGATAGTTTACAGACTTGTTTCTGGATGGGGTCTTAGCACTTTCTTTGGCATCTGGTCTCTGTAAAGGAGGCATGAGGAGAGTAGAGTATCTCAGAGTCCTGTTTCAAGAAACCTGAAATCTGAGCAAGACAGCTCAAGTTAGCTAGAAAAAACTAGGTTTTGAATGTATGGTTCCTGAGGCCAAAGAAAATAGCCCTAATATTAGGCTCTTAGGGTGACAATATGTTACATGGAGTAACTTCTTTTCAGTCTGGGCTATTCTATGGCAAAAGATTTTGAAGGTTTATTGGAGCAGATTAATTTAGATTGAAACCTATTATTTCTTACTCCCACTAGAGGGCCCTAATATGCAAGAGGAATTTCTTATTTTAAATGGTTTATGCAGATATGTTTGCTTACAGTAAGAACAACATAACTGGGCTTACAGGGCACGTGCAGTTTGTGAACTGTAGCTTCAGAGCCTAAAACCAGGTGTATGTAGGCCAGAACTTTTATGCAAAAACTAAAGTGTTAGAAGGTTAAAATATAAGTACTGTGAAAAAGAATATGGCCAAAGAATGTTACAGACAAGGAATTAAACACATGGGAGACTGAGAACAGCAGTTCGAGTGCTGTTGCCACCATCTGAATCAGCATCATTGTATCTATTCATATTTGTAGTATTAAGTGTTTTTAAAATCTTTGATGAATGAAAGAAAATGTATGCCTGCACTGAAGTAATACGAACTAGAAATAGAATTATTTTAAAAGAATTAGTGCAAAACTGGAACCTCTCAGCTGATGTGTTTGTCTAAAAAAAAGTTTACCATGCTTTATCACATGTGAAGGCAATACATGTATATAGAAAACTTGTATATTGTTCTTCTACCATTAATCAGTAAATACCTACGTACACATTTATTGACAATATGATCAATACATAATCTTAAGACAACACACTAGCACTTGCCAGTGAGAACTGAAGAATCTTTGTCACTTCTAAATACAAATTTTGCATTAAGTGAATGAGCATCAAACAGTTCCATTGCAACGAATTTTATTATGTTATTCCTGTGCAACAAAAGTAATATTGGGAAACTAAAGTTGTGCTACATATTGCAACATTTATTTGACAATGCCAAGCTCTGAACAATTAAAACTATAACAGTTTCATTTCCCTGGGATGTTTGACTGCAGAGCTAACTAGTTTTGTAAGACTTACTGGTAAGATGCATCAAAAGTAGAAGGTCAAAACATGAAAAAAATGTTTTCTCTGCCCCAAATTTTCATTGCTGTTTCCATATGCTCCCGGAACAGAGTGCAGTGTTTGCTATTGCTTTCAGAGTTGACTGTTAAGTTATAATGTTGGGTCTTTTTTTGTTTTGTTTTTTAATAAATCAAGCTCGGTGCCAAAAAAGGTGGTTTGGGGGCACAAAAAGTGAGCAGCCAAAGCTTTAATGAGATTGAAAAACAGGCACAAGCTGTAGATAAAATGAAGGAACAAGAGGATCTTCATAGCAGTAAGACAACGGAGAAGGAAACGCCACTGTAAGTATGAACGGTAAAACATGAAGCCTAATTTCATGTTAATGACATAATTGTCAGCATTTTACATACTACCAGAGACTAGCCCATGTAGATAAAACGTCAATTATTGCTTTAAAAAAAAAAATCCAAATGTGGATGAGGTAGGCCAAATAGTAATTCCCCCGTTGCCGTTTTTTTGACCATTAAATATATATTTCTACAGTTGATGATTTACTGTAGAAATAGCCCAATGCTATCTTTAAAAGCAATGTTGGTGTTATTTAGCACAGAAAATAAAGAGACGTTCTATTGATACATATGGAGAAATGTGAAATAAATCTAAAATACGTGAAATTAAAGTATTACCACAGAAGACTCTTGCCTTTTGAACTTACTTTACCCCGTGCCAGTTACCTAGTTCATTTTGTTTTGGTGAACTGAATACTATTTAAAAACAATCTTTCTAATATACAAATATTCAGCTTTATTTGTACTTACTTGGTAAGAGGCAGGGAGTAATTTAAGTATCCCATCGTTACAGTTGGAATTTAATCCTATTGATAGCGAATATTTTCAATTAACGCGGAACATAAAAAATACAGTGCTACAATATATATTGTTAATTTTCTACCAGTATTACTGGACGAGATGATCAGTGTAGCATTTTACAGCTATATGTTAACTATGTTTTGTTCTAGCGTGTCATCTTTGCGGTTGGCCTACAGAGATCTTGATATTAAAACAAAAGAAGACAAGTTAAATCTATCTGGTAAGAAGAAAAGTGAATTGGAGAGACTTGGCATGGGGTTTGGCAGCAACAGAAGGTATGTGAAAAAATGTGAAATAAATCTAAAATATGTTAAATTAAAGTATTACCACAGAAGACTCCTGCCTTTTGAACTTACTTTACCCCGTGCCAGTTACCTAGTTCATTTTGTTTTGGTGAACTGAATACTATTTAAAAACAATCTTTCTAATATACAAATATTCAGCTTTATTTGTACTTACTTGGTAAGAGGCAGGGAGTAATTTAAGTATCCCATCGTTACAGTTGGAATTTAATCCTATTGATAGCGAATATTTTCAATTAACGCGGAACATAAAAAATACAGTGCTACAATATATATTGTTAATTTTCTACCAGTATTACTGGACGAGATGATCAGTGTAGCATTTTACAGCTATATGTTAACTATGTTTTGTTCTAGCGTGTCATCTTTGCGGTTGGCCTACAGAGATCTTGATATTAAAACAAAAGAAGACAAGTTAAATCTATCTGGTAAGAAGAAAAGTGAATTGGAGAGACTTGGCATGGGGTTTGGCAGCAACAGAAGGTATGTGAAGTTCAAGAAACTGTATTTATGGCTTTATGCAGTTATCCTTCATTTTACTTAGGAGATGAAAAAATATCCTGAAGCGTGTTACGGAAACTTAAACAGTATCATCAAAGAATCTATTATCTGTCAGGAGGAAGGGACAGGATTGCTTCTGACATTCTGACCTGCCAGACAGACGTTAACCTAAATTGTAGGATGTTTGTAAGGTGTTTGCCTCCATTAGCTGACTGCGGGGAAGGTAGCCAAGATGTTTTCGAGGAATAGTACCAACTTAAGTATAGTCTGTCTTTTACAAGCCAAAACTCTGAAAAAGCCACGTTGCTGTGTTTTCCAATTTCTGGAATGGTCTGTGTGTTCAGAAGTCCTGTCACTACTTCAGAAAACTACTGTTCAGTTTTCCAGGGCTTTTTTTTGTTGTTTTTGGTGCTTTTTCCCCTCCTCCTTTCTTCTTAAATGTTTGTATGGCTTGGGCTTTATCAGCAAGCTTCAGAAACTAGATTTGGGCTTTCATTTCTTTTCTTTTTAGGGTGTGAGCTTTGTCATCTGTTTACATACTTATTTTCTTCCTGTCCCCAGTGGCATTTCGCACTCAGTCACCTCAAATATGCAAACAATAGAGCAGGAAACGCCTGCAATTACAAAGCCGAAGAAAAAATACACCGATGATGTAGATGACTTGTATTTCTCTTCTAGTTCACGGTATTGTATAAGCTTTTTATTTTGACTGGCTGTAGAAATATATAATACATCTAACTTTTTCAAATATACACAATGTATTTCAACTTAAAGATGAAAACACAAGATAATTCAACATGTTTACACACCTAGCATATTTTCAGGGGACAGCTCAATCAGAAAAGTTGTGAAATAGTTGACCTTACCTTGATGGCAGATGTATTTATAAAGACGAGTTACTTCTTGTGAGGAGGAAGTAGTCTGAATTACGTGTTTATAGGTTTTGTCTTGTTAACGGTCTAGTCTCTACTTGGCCAGACAATTCATAGAATCATAGAATCATTCAGGTTGGAAGAGACCCTTGGGATCATTGAGTCCAACCATCTACCCTACTCTACATAGTCCTCCCCTACACCATATCCCTCAGTACCAGTGGACTTTTTTGTTAGAATGACTTTTGTTCGTTCTTGTGATTCTGTCTTCAACTTTCATTTTAAGTGGATTTTTTTGTTAGAATGACTTGTGATTCTGTCTTCAACTTTCATTTTAAAATAAAACAAGTATCGAAGTCTGATACTAGATACGCTATAATTGCATCACTCTTATAACTATATGCATGTCAAATACTTAAATCTTCTTGAGGTATTTTGTGTTGGATATATCGTGTAGATGTGTGCAGTCTTATTTGATAGAATTTTATGTATATGAACATAAAATTTGAGCAAAAAATAATTGATGAATTTTTGATCAGAGTATGAATGCAAAACAAATTATAAAATACTGCTGTTGGGAGGGAGAAGAAAAAAATTAGTCCTACAGCACTAATTGCAATGAAAGAGGTGTTTCTGGACTGATACATAGAAACAGGTGTTGCTTTTATAAACTGCATTTATTGGATTGCTGCCACAGGAACATGAAAAATTGTACCTAATTAATTGTAGACAGGCAAATAAAAAGACACATGCTTTTGTGTCATTACTTCATAGTGTAATCACTAGTGGCAGAAATGCAAATGTAGCAAGTAAACTGGCAGCAGTCTTGTAAAATGAAACATATCATTTCAGTGCTTCTCTGTTTGTTCCTTGAAAAGAACCATTAGTGCTCTCAAATTATTCATAAGCCTCTTCATATGGAAGAGGCATTTTAATCTGTTTTAGTACAGTAATTAGAAGATAAATTGTAACCTAGCTCTTCACAGCTCTTGTTCTTCTAGTTGTAGCAATAGTAGAATCTAATTAGAAACAGTGTATAAATTCATTCCCTTTAAAGAAAGTATAAAGTCAAATTTTTAGACTTGGTAAGGTTTTTAAGGTGGTTATTATCCTTTATTCTGAGTTGTGATTTTGAAGTAGAGGTGAAGTAATTTTAATATCATCTTAATGTATGCCCAAAAGCAAAATATTCATGCTGGATATTAGAATGCTGATAAGTATCTGTGAATTAAGCAAGCTAAGTGTCTCAAGGTTTAGATATATAATTGACGCCTCTCAAAATCCTTGGATTTTTATTTTTGCTGCAGTTAATAAAATCTTTATTAACTTTAAAGTGTGAACTTTTATTTTCTATTAAATGCAGTTTTTTCTTTCTCCTGCTGCCCCACCCAAATACTGATCCATAGAATCATAGAATGGTTAGAGTTGGAAGGAACCTTAAAGATCATCTATTTCCAATCCCTCTGCCATGGGCAGGGACACCTTCCACTAGACCACGTTGCTCAAAACCCCATCCAGCCTGGCCTTGAACAATTCAAGGGATGGGTTGTAATCATTGTGATGCCTTGCTCACTGAGGTTTTCTTAGCTCCTGAAGCTCTTAAACCAGCCAATTATCTTGATGGTGTTCTTCTCAGTGCTTTGTCTGATACTGAAGAAATAATACTTTGAAGTAATGAGAGCTTTGCCTGTTTTGATGTGACCAGATCTTTCAGGCAGTCCACTGCGTTCATGACCATACCCAGCCTAAAGAAAGGTCAAACTTTTCATTTGGTTAAGTAGGTGTGCAAAAACCCAAAAATCCATTGGATTCAACTGCACAAAGCTTCTAACCAGTATTATGAAATCCAAATTATTCACTGGCAACTACCATTGTGCTGAAAACGTACTTGCTATGGAGCATTCAATACTTCTTTTTCTTCTTTTATTTTAGGTACTATGATTCTTCAGATTTGAGGAGCAGTGCTTTCTCTAAATGGGATGACACTACAGATTCTTTTTGGAAGAAAGAAAATAACAATAGAGATGTTGATGTAATGTTAACTTCAAAAAGTACAGGATTTTCAGACAGGTATACAAAGAAAACTTCACTGATTTATATTTGGCAAGCCCAAGCTTATTAATATGATTTGAGTCCTGCTCATAGTAGTGGGAATTTTTCAGTCTAGAGGGAAAATTTGGCTGTAACTTTCATCAGCAGTCAAGTGACTTCCTGGTTGAATTTATTTTCTAAGTCGAATTTCCTGTTTGGTTATTTACATTTTAAGCACTGTTTTGCTCAGTGCTTAAAATATGTGAGTATATGTGTTGGAGGTAACTGCCAAAGTGTTTCAGGAAAAAAAAAAAATAGAGGAAAGATATGAAGAGAAACACAAATATTTGCACTGTTCTGAGACCATACTTGCTTTACTTGCTTTCTTTATCGTGTAATGAACCAAAGAGAACCCAGTTACCAAATCAATGCAATTCTCGGGTACTGAGGGTTCAGGATGAAGGTATTGAAGATACTTGCAACAACAGGTCTGATTATTGTGATGATACAAACCGAATATGTTTCTTCTCTAATGACTGTGGTTTTGTCTTTGTTGTCAAGTGGAAAATATAAGAACATGGGGGTTTGTGTGCTTGGTTGGTGTTTTGTGCTTCTGTTGTTATTATCCATATTTTATTTTACCTGCACAATACTTTTGTGCACTTAAGTACAACTTTTTTTCTCTTTTTTAAAAAGGATTTTTTTTTAAAAAGGATTAATGAGTCTGAAATATTATATATTTACCATCTTGTAAAACTGTCACTGGGATTTTATTTGCTGCTATATCCACTCAGTTATCTGAATCTTTATCCTGGGTTCATAGGGATTTAATTTTTATTAAAAAAAATAAATCAAATTATACTTTTAGGCTTCACAAAACAAAGATGATAGTGCTCCTTGTTTGATTTATTGCATTCTGCCATGATATAAATAAAAATTATGCTCACTAATGCAGTTTATTTTTCTTTTAGGCCTACATCTCATCGTAAGCCTGAATATGAACTATCTTCAAACACAGATGAAGCACAAAAAAAATTTGGCAACGTGAAAGCAATTTCATCAGACATGTATTTTGGAAGGCAAGATCATGCCGATGTAAGTAGAAAGGAGTGATAAATATTTTTGAGTGTTAAAATATTCATTGACTATAAACCCTTTATAGGGAATGTAATAAATAGTTAAATAATAGTAATAAATAGTTAAAATTGGTAGAATTAGTAAACTTATAAAATTATGTCCTCTTGAATGTTTGTTTGATAGAAATGTATGAGTCTCTGATAACTACCCTTGTATAAAGGGAATGTAATAAATAGTTAAAATTGGTAGAATTAGTAAACTTATAAAATTATGTCCTCTTGAATGTTTGTTTGATAGAAATGTATGAGTCTCTGATCACTCTAGTTTAGTATTTCCTAAGGAGTTGCAGCAGCTGCATGTAGATCTTTACCTCCATCATCATTCCTCTCTGATAGCAGTGTTAGACTATGAGTCAGCAGTGTTTATTTTTGAAAGAATGAGCCTGATGCTGATTCTGTGAAGGCTTACTTCAACTCTGATAGTTTAGTATTTCCTAAGGAGTTGCAGCAGCTGCATGTAGATCTTTACCTCCATCATCATTCCTCTCTGATAGCAGTGTTAGACTATGAGTCAGCAGTGTTTATTTTTGAAAGAATGAGCCTGATGCTGATTCTGTGAAGGCTTACTTCTTTTGATCTGAGTACTAAAAATGATGCTAACAAACCATTGTTAAAACAACTCTCCCTTCTGTTACATGGAAACATTATTAATATTATAAGGCTAAGCAAGCAGATAATGGTTCAACAAATGATATGTAATTGACTCAGCATAGGAATAAAAACCAGATTAATATTATGTTACGTTTTGGAGGCGAGGGATCATTTAAAAAAATCTATTTTTAATGAAAGTTTAACAATGCATTACCATTCCCAAGGAATTCAGAAAAAGTTGAGTTAAAAGCATCGCATGATTAGAAGGGTTAACATGATGTTAACTGCAGTGTTTTTTTCCTCACCCTACCCAACCACTGTATTTCACATTTCTTAAGTAGTTGTTTTTAATGTTCATTCTCCTCTGCCTTTTCAGCAATCCCCCTTTTTAGGGTATTTAGCAGTGAGTAGGCCTCTTGGTATTGTGATGGTAAATTTCTTTGATCAACTCAGAAATGAGTTGAGATGAGGACAAACTTACACCATCTAAGTCACGTGAAAACTACAAAATGGGAACAGCTTTCAGAACAGTCAACTTCAGCTGGATTTTTACATTCTGAAACTGTACCTGTAATCTCATGAATTACCTGATGTGACCTTGAAAGATGACAGCATACTGTTACAATACTTCTCAATTTTTTTTCCTAGTATGAAGCACGGGCTCGACTAGAAAGACTTTCTGGAAGCTCATGTATAAGTTCAGCTGACTTGTTTGAAAATCAGAAAAAACAACCAACAGGTACATATTGAACAGAGTGAGAAACTGTATCATGTGGTGAATAGGCTCCCATACTCTGCTTCTAATTACACTGTCAGCTAGCTGTTGCTGTATTCTGCAACAAGTGTGCAAAGTACAGTATGCCTTAGTATTGCTAACATGTCAAACAAGCATAACAGTTGTAGTCATTTTAAGAAAAAAAACAGTCTCAAAATCTCATGTTCTGTGTTTTCAGTTCAGTAAGTTCAGTATTTTATACTGGTTTTTATGTGACTCAATCTCAAAATCTCACGTTCTGTGTTTTCAGTTCAGTAACTTCAGTATTTTATACTGGTTTTTATGTGACTTGTTGCAAATAATAGACTAACTATATTGTAAATAATTTTTATCAAAGGAGAACTGTAATATTTTGTTATAAAAAGAAATGAGGTAACACCTAAATTAACTATCAGGTAGATTTTTATAAGTTACCCTAAATAATCTATATATTCATAGATGTGAAAATGGCTGTCATAATAATAATAATAATAATAATGAACCTAAGAGGAATCTATAATAAAATTTTAGTGGCCTTGAAATTCCAAAGTAATCTGTTGTGTGGCATATCCGTTCATCAGGATACCTGCTTCTGGTCTTGCCAAATTATTAATTAAATTTTACAATTGGTTTTGTTTAAAAGATTTGTTGGAACACCTCACAGTGGAGAGTATAGTTCATCAAGGAAGAAGTATTAGATTGAATTGACTCAAAAGTAGCCCCTTAGGCAACTGAAAATTTCTCATGTTTTCTTTCCAACACCTTTTTTGGGTAGCGAAATAACGTGAAATAGAAAAGGTAAGAAATACTGGAAAATTTTATTGATTTCATTCAATGGATTTTTTTCCATGTCATTCAAGAAATGAAAAAAAAAAAGAATTCTTGAAGAACTTGAAATCTGTGAGTGATTATATAAATAGGCTGGAAAAGCAAACAGTATGCAGCATCTGATTTTACTTTGGAAAAATTGGGGGGGAAAAAGAAAGTGACTGTTTAGTTTTGATCCCCTGAAAGCAAGTTTTGAATATACTGGCTAGTATAGGAATAACCCCTATTACCAGTTACTTAAGCTGGATTTCAGTCAATTGAAATGTAAAAAGAAAATTAAAAATTAAAAAAATATATAAAATATTTGCATGGTGTTTTAAAAAAGATGTGGGGAAGATGAGGAAGATAGGGAACAAGCACAAGGAAATGGTATTTCTTTCTGAATTTGTTGACTATGTTTTCAATAATACATAGGATTGTGATAAATATTATTTTGCTATCTGTTGTTGACTGATACTTTGTCCTTTTTCTCCCGGTCAATTGGATTTCATTCAATGGATTTTTTTCCATGTCATTCAAGAAATGAAAAAAAAAAAGAATTCTTGAAGAACTTGAAATCTGTGAGTGATTATATAAATAGGCTGGAAAAGCAAACAGTATGCAGCATCTGATTTTACTTTGGAAAAATTGGGGGGGAAAAAGAAAGTGACTGTTTAGTTTTGATCCCCTGAAAGCAAGTTTTGAATATACTGGCTAGTATAGGAATAACCCCTATTACCAGTTACTTAAGCTGGATTTCAGTCAATTGAAATGTAAAAAGAAAATTAAAAATTAAAAAAATATATAAAATATTTGCATGGTGTCTTAAAAAAGATGTGGGGAAGATGAGGAAGATAGGGAACAAGCACAAGGAAATGGTATTTCTTTCTGAATTTGTTGACTATGTTTTCAATAATACATAGGATTGTGATAAATATTATTTTGCTATCTGTTGTTGACTGATACTTTGTCCTTTTTCTTTTCGTTTTCTTGCATAGAAATTATTTTATTTGGAATTAATCATTTTTTCATTTAAGTTGTGTAATATGTGTGGGGCTTTTACCCAGTAATGAATAAGAGAATGAACAAGGAAAAGGTAAATATAAGTTAAAAGATGGGGCAAGTTGTGTGGTGTGATATGTATATCTCTGTGTATATATATGTGAAAGTGCCTTTTTATGTACACACGTGATAAAATTCTCACTGTATTCTGAATAAGGGTATTTACAGGCAATTATATAATGTTTACTATGTGTACGTGAATTGTACACACACAATTATTCATCACTGACCACTGGGAAAGGTTCTTGGGGCTTGTGGGGGGAATGCAGAGATTCCTAATAATGTGATGAAAAATACCTGACTCAAGGTTAGTTACTCTCTGTGACTGGCACATAACCTAATGTAAATTTAAAGACTAAACTTCTGCTAAACTTTGTAGGTTGTTAACTTCTCTAAAATAATCGTGAGGAAAAATACACTAGGAATTATAAGTTTGTATATTATAAATTCACACTATATTCAATGCTCAGAATGTTCCCTTCCTGCATGATTTTCTATTACACCTCCTACCCCCACTATCTTTTGACAATGGTCCTTCTTGCACTGATAGCTTGTCTGGTGTTGAATTTTTGCCAAGGCCATCATTAGTTCTCTAAAATAATCAGGAACCTGGACACTGGCAACAAAAACACTGCTGTAATTCTGGAGTCCTTGCCAGAATAGAATGTCCTTCGAATCTAAAGTTGTTTTTATGAACGCTGCTGAGAGTTTAGGGTAGAATAGTTTGGGGATGCTTGCTTTTGTTCAGAATGCTGTAGGAGCTATTTACAAAAAAGAGGGGGCTGCAAGAAGATGCTTTTACTTTGCATTATTTCAGACCTATTGCTTATGGAAGGTGGCATGTCAGAGAGCTGACTTGTAGATGCTGATTTTTGAAGGAAATCACAAGAAAAGGAGTTGCTTTCCTGTCTCATTGACAAGATGTTTTTCAGACAACCATACATAACCAGAAAAACATGAGAAAATTCACGTGGCTGAAAAGCGGTTAGAGCTTTCCTCAGGTAATTTATATCTGCAAGTTTTATTTCCATTACTCTGAACGGAAAACAAAAATAATGAAGCATTTGATAAGTGGAAAAGATTGTAAGGAAGTAAAAATTACAGTTCAGAAATAGGGCTGCCTCAGTGAGAGTGAATTTTTCAAAATAATCTATAAACAAGCGGCTCATGCATTGTACAAACAGCCACTAGGCAGCTGTGAAGAATGGAGTGGGAAGCTCTCTGAGTGTGACTATGCATCTGCCACTATGAACCAGCCACTTAGCTTAGGTAAATCAAATTATCTACAGTAGTGTCTGTCTCAGCATGCTAACGAGGCAGGTGCCTTCAATTTCCCATGAAAAGAGGAGCTGCAGGTTCTCTCTTTCTCCTCCACACTTGTTGAAAAAGAAAATAGGGGAAAAAAAAAAAGGAGAAGAAAGGGCTTCCAGTTTCTAGAAATGTCCTGTGTGCAGCCGGACACAGGACATTACAAAGGAGTTACATTTGTGCAGGTTGTGGAGGTTGCGGCTGGACGAACTTGTCCAAGGTTCAGTATCTACTCACAAGTTGTGTCCTCACTTGTCATGACTATCATTTGGTTATGTGCCTAAATTAAGGCTACAGATCGCAGTCTCGGTTTTGAAAATGGTCTATTTTGGGATGCTTCCTCTCAGAAGCTTAAATAATCCCCAAGATCATAGTACTGTTTTACTGCCATTTGTGCCTTTTACATTATCAGGTATACATTATTGAGGTGTGTCCGTAATTGTTTTTGAAAATGAGTGGGTGATTGTAATTGTTAGCATGTTAACACTTATAGAATCTTAGAATTGTCTAGTTTGGAAAGGACCTTTAAGATCATCTAGTCCAATCATCAACTCTGATTAAAAAAAAAAAACAAACAAAAAACCAAATAAACAAAAGAAAACCATAGGAAACAAAAACCCCACATGACTAAACCATGTTACTGAGCACTATGTCAACCTGTCTTTTGAACACCTCCAGGGATGGTGCCTCAGCCACCTCCTTGGGCGGCCCATTCCAAGGCTTAATAACCTTTTCCGTATGAAAAATACCTGACTCAAGGTTAGTTACTCTCTGTGACTGGCACATAACCTAATGTAAATTTAAAGACTAAACTTCTGCTAAACTTTGTAGGTTGTTAACTTCTCTAAAATAATCGTGAGGAAAAATACACTAGGAATTATAAGTTTGTATATTATAAATTCACACTATATTCAACGCTCAGAATATTCCCTTCCTGCATGTTTTTCTATTACACCTCCTACCCCCACTATCTTTTGACAATGGTCCTTCTTGCACTGATAGCTTGTCTGGTGTTGAATTTTTGCCAAGGCCATCATTAGTTCTCTAAAATAATCAGGAACCTGGACACTGGCAACAAAAACACTGCTGTAATTCTGGAGTCCTTGCCAGAATAGAATGTCCTTCGAATCTAAAGTTGTTTTTATGAACGCTGCTGAGAGTTTAGGGTAGAATAGTTTGGGGATGCTTGCTTTTGTTCAGAATGCTGTAGGAGCTATTTACAAAAAAGAGGGGGCTGCAAGAAGATGCTTTTACTTTGCATTATTTCAGACCTATTGCTTATGGAAGGTGGCATGTCAGAGAGCTGACTTGTAGATGCTGATTTTTGAAGGAAATCACAAGAAAAGGAGTTGCTTTCCTGTCTCATTGACAAGATGTTTTTCAGACAACCATACATAACCAGAAAAACATGAGAAAATTCACGTGGCTGAAAAGCGGTTAGAGCTTTCCTCAGGTAATTTATATCTGCAAGTTTTATTTCCATTACTCTGAACGGAAAACAAAAATAATGAAGCATTTGATAAGTGGAAAAGATTGTAAGGAAGTAAAAATTACAGTTCAGAAATAGGGCTGCCTCAGTGAGAGTGAATTTTTCAAAATAATCTATAAACAAGCGGCTCATGCATTGTACAAACAGCCACTAGGCAGCTGTGAAGAATGGAGTGGGAAGCTCTCTGAGTGTGACTATGCATCTGCCACTATGAACCAGCCACTTAGCTTGGGTAAATCAAATTATCTACAGTAGTGTCTGTCTCAGCATGCTAACGAGGCAGGTGCCTTCAATTTCCCATGAAAAGAGGAGCTGCAGG